TCGAGGCACGTGATCTACGACCAACTGAATGGTCTAAACGGTAACGCGCTTTCGTTTAATACAGTATATATTTTTCGGATAAGTCAATTTCGGGACAACCAAATATCTTAAAATATTATCATTGTTCTAAACTGAATGTACAAGTGACCTTAACATGACTTTCTCGTAATTTGTCTTACACTGAATGCAGCAAAATGCTGCCACCCTTTTGCAACTTGTTTAGCAGAAACCCTAATCCCAGTCATTGTTGATATTCATGCTCACACATGCAGACACGGTACAGGGGAGGGAAGCTCGTTGTATGATAGTATGATCAATGAATTCAGGTTCAACAATCCAACTACTGGTGAAACAGCGTTGTTGGATGTGTATGTAAATGTGGATTGTGATGAATACCATGTTGGCCAAACTCTCACTCGACCCAAAACAGTGACACCTGTTTGGAACGAGGACTATGAGGTGATGCATTCGGCCTTCGTTGAGTGTCCGTTTCGGTCACGTCGAAGCGATTCTTTTTTCACTACGTAACTAATAATTATTATTTGATCAAAGTTTTCTATCATTTGATCAGAGTTTGTAAAGCATAACGAATATTAAATTGCAGACAGAGGTTCATAATGGACGAGTGCTTGGTTTTACCGTATTCCATGACTGTGCGTTACCTCCGGATGATTTCGTTGCGAATTGTCGTGTTCTGTTCGAAGATCTTAAGATCTCTTCAAATAACGATATTTGGGTTTGTCTTCAGCTATCTAAAGTTGTTGATTCATCGTGAGTCTATCATCTAAAAATCAACTGATGTTAGCCATTCAATTGACAGCCATTCAATCTCATCAACAACTTTAATCACTTTCCAATCGACTCACTCGTTTTATCAGTTCACATCGACCCAAGAACAAACTCTGATTATTCGCAACTGTGCCACTGAACTTTTTTTCGTGCAAAAAGAAAGCCGTACTGCTGAGTTGTTCGTCATTTTCACAGTTCCATTCGATGATCGCTAACAAGCTTCTCAACAGTTATTTTTGCTTACACTTTAAAATCATCGGCTGTTGTTGCGGCTGTCTGTTATTTTGCTAACGTTTCCGGTGCTGTAATGAAGTGATTGATTTTCCTATAGGGCTGGGTGGAGATTGTACTGATGAGCGAGTGAACTAGACCCGTAAGCGTTGTTTTTGAACGTAGTTTCACTAATGAGAAACACCTAAAGGACATTACATCTTTCACTGGTATACTTATGATAGCAACAAATTGTCTGAACTAAATTATGCACGTTTCAGATTGATCTGGAGCCACATGGTCAATTGCATGTTCTTGTCGAACTCCATGGAGTCTCAATGGAAGGTAACACGTTGAATGATTTTTCCTTTTGACATTGACCACGTAACTCATACATCCTGTGTATTCATCAGAAATTATTCATGCCGCACTCACATCCTTAACATTCACAGATCTCACAGTTCTGACGACCCTTCATCGGAGTATCCTTGAGAATGTTTCGTTCACTTGCCCTACAATTTGATCTTTTCGACGCGCGTCATACCTGATGCAGTCATGTCATCATGTTTGAATCAAATGTTTCTGATCAGTCGTTTCCCT